GATTGGTCGACTGCCTTCAGTCAGAGAGGGAAATGGCCAATAGCTAATCAGCAATTTAAAAAGTAATCACAGTTCATACACGCTCGATAGTGTAGGCGTGGATTTTAGCTGCCACACTATGGCGAGTGGATAGTGCCACGGATAACCGAACGAAGGAGACAGTCGTGTACTCGCCATACCACACACACACAAAAACACACACACACCTCCGGATGACAACGCTCCCGCACCCGCCAGGTTTTAGCCTGAGAACCCGCTCCGTTTTCTGCCCGCCGCGCCCGGTCCCGCTAGAGCGGAGAACACAACCAAAAATCACCCAGTAAACAGTCCATCTGTATAAACACATACACACAGCACAAAGCTCGTTCGTTCGTTCGCTCTCTCTCTCTCTCTCTCGCTCTCTCTCATACGCTCTCTCATACCAAGCAGACTCTCTCTTTCTAATTCACATAGCAATATCCGTGATATTGCTAGACAGCCCGCTCCCGTCCCAAATTAAACCCGTTACCGACCGCTCCCGCGATTTTTCCGAAATTTATTCCCGCGGCTGTCCCCGCGCCAGATTTCTGCGGCGCGGGAATAAACTTCCGAATAAATCGCGGGAGCAGAACTCTAGCACGGAGCTCCATAAACAAACAGCACGCGTCGCGTTTTCAACGTGGCTTTGCACGCGATAAGATAATATATCCAGTTAACCTGATACAGTACACGCGGTTACAAGTAACAAATCACAACTAAATACATTTGCAAGCTAGAGTCAACGAGGCAACAACTTTAACCGCACGTACTTACACTTGAGAAATGGAAGAAACCCATCCTGACGTCCATCAGTTACTCTTTACTGATCCTTCCTTTAACAAACGCAGATGAAGTATTCTTTGTAGCATGTAGCTTCCAGAAGTTTCCAACTGCTTGGTTATAATGCTGAGGTTTCATCTTTGGGTAGAGACTCAATATATCCATCTGCAGTGTGACTTCAATCAACCGGCATGTTTGTGTGTGTGTGTGTGTGTTTGTGGGTGTGTGTGTGTCTGGGTTTCTGCGTCAGAGGGCGGGGCCTCAGGTTTGAAATCTCCCGGGTTTGCGCGTGCACGTGAATAACTTGGTTTCGTTCGTACGTCATGGCGAAACACCTAATGAATCGTGATCAAGGCGACTCGTTTGAAGCACTATGAGTCGACTCTTTTATAGATGAATCAACAGTTTTAAACACTGTATTCTTACAGATTTAAGCCTTAGCTGGATACTTCACTTCACTTAGAGCTGTGTTACACACTACATGGAGGGGAATTTTCAAAAACCCATAATATGGGCTCTTTAAAACTAACAATTTGACTTAATGTATCAATTGTACCCACGTAAAAAATAATCACAACCAGGAGTGTTGCAAAATACACTGAGACTTTATGTTATAATGACTGAAATGGGAAACCATACTTAATAGTATGATAATGCTCATCGTGATCTCCCAACGTCTATCTCTCTTTCCCTAAAATGCTTCCAGTCCAATAGGTGACGCTGTGTTTGATTTAATTCTTTTGTATTAGTGCTGCAGTGGGTGCTCACTAGATGGCAGTAGTTTGACCCTCCATCTTCAGCGGCCCCTGCTCTTGATCCTCCGGCAGAAGAAAAAAAACCCACCGCCTTTCTTCTTTCAAAATGGCCGAATACTTGGCGTCTATTTTCGGTACAGAAAAAGACAAGTAAGTAGTGGTTATTGTCGTAAAATAATGCTTGTGATTCTTTATGCTGAGCACCCCTGAGCATTATTGCAAAAATTGGATAATTTTGAAATATAATAATTTTCAGTATTTCTTTTCTTGTGCATCGCGTGGTGATGAGCAGAGCCGTTTGCTAACCGCGCCGCTAACAGCACAACAATAATACTAATAACAAATATATTTCAGATCACAATGCTTTCATGTGTAATAGATTGTTATGTGCATTTATTATTGATTTGTTTTAAGTTTGCGTTGTTATATCAAGTCCAGCCCTGTCTTGTTAGCTCCTTTCATTCATTGTGGCGCCTTCTCAACGCTGTGCTAAATGGATCTTATTTAAAAGCCATATTTTTGTGTTTGTTTTTAGTTTTAATAGCCTATGTTTGATTAATTTGTGTCTTAGTGTCATTTGGAAGATTTACATGAACATAAATCCTAATTAAGTTAGTTCACTATTGGATTAAATACTAGTATCGAATGAGTGAGTAACGTTACGGGTGGTTGAAGTGACGAACTAGTTTTTGTGTCTTAATAGTAAACACTTGTATCGAGTGAATAAGTACCCCTTTTTAAAAGTTTACTATTTACTAACGTTAATATTAGGTTATAGATTAGTACTACTTAATAAAAATACTAATAACGAAATACCAAGTGCACGTATCGTGTAAAAGATGCTTGTACATTATTTAGATTAAATGTTGAAACCTATTTCTATACATAAAATTAATATCAGCCTGTGAGAGTGATGGCTAAAGTTATATTGATTTAGTTCAAAAGCAGTTTAATGAACAGTGTTAAATGAACTCTGTTTAATAAACAGAGAGTTAAGAGGATTGTTAATCAAAATCCAAAAAAAAAAAATCCAGAAATGTGTGAACAAAACTGATCAATTAAAACTGTGTGTTTTAATTCAACAGGGTCAACTGCTCTTTCTACTTTAAAATTGGAGCCTGTCGCCATGGAGACCGATGCTCTAGACTTCATAATAAACCCACCTTCAGTCAGGTATCTGTCAGTTTTTACATCAGTGATCCTGTAATCCATGATGCTTCTGCTAGATTTATGTTGTGATTGACATTTGATATGTGTTGCAGACCATTGCCCTGTTGAACATCTACAGGAACCCACAAAACACAGCCCAGTCTGCTGATGGCTTAAGTAAGTCCTACTCCTGTATTAGGATTAAGTGATGTCCTGCAATCCGGAGCTAAGAGCATGCAGGGTTCTGATTACAGTTGTTATCAAGATGCATTTTGTTTGATTCGATCACAAGTAGACTTTGATTTTCTTATTTGCATGTTTTAGCCAGTGCACTTTGGACCACTTTCTCCAAAAGAAAGGTCCATTTATGTTGTTTTTATTTATTTCATATTTTTTTATATAATGTATATTTATAATTTACTCAACTTTCACTTATTCCAAACTTAGCTTCTCTCTTCTGTTGAGCACAAATGGAGATATTTTGGAGAGAGCTAAAATCCTGTAACTATATTGACTTTCATAATATTTACTTCTCCTGTTATGGACATCAGTTTCCAACAATCTTTAAAGTATCTTCTTTGTGTTCAAAAGAATAAAATTATAAATAAACTTGAGGGATAGTAAATTTTCATTTTTGGTAAACTACCCATTTAACAGCACATTTATAATATTATACATAAAAATTAAACATTCACAAAACCTGTATTTGACCAGAAAAGTTGCTGAGATCTACTCACGCAAGCGGTTGACTAATCTTTAAAGCTATTTTTTTGGTTGCAGCAAATCATGTATACACAGTTAGACAACAAAAAGAATAATGCAAAGAACAGTAGGCTAATTCTGGTCGTTTTCTTGATGGCTACAAAACTATAATGAACAATACAAGTCATCATATCCTGATATCCTTATATATATATATATATATATATATACATATACATATATACATACACACACACACACACACACAGTTTTCATAAGGTCCTGGAAAACCTGGAAACTTCATGAAATAAAAAAAAAATGTTTTTCCATGCCTGGAAAAGTTTTTGAAAAACAAATAAACCCAAAATGTTTTGGAAAAGTCATGAAACATTGCTTAACAATTATTTTTGTGCTTGAATATATTTGAGATAATAAAATTGGGTACATTTTAAATGAAATGAAATTGAGCTGTCCATCTCTTCATGGGACTTTTTTTTGTGTGGGGTAAACTTTGCAATCTTCAGTTGTAAAAGCAATTAACTTCAAAAAGTAAAAGCAGTTTCAGCTTTGCCTCGCTTTTGCTTGCTTTCACCATAGTTCAAGATGCATTTTGAGTGTCGTGTCCAGAAACGATCTCTAACTGCAGAGGTTTGTACTAATTTTAGTAGTCTTGTGAAAACACAAGCCAACATTTCTGTTTCAACATCGACAGCTAGACACTTTCTAAACTATTTTACAGATAAATATAAAATACATTGATTGTCACATGTTTGATATGCTGTAGTAAATTTGAATGTGCATTTTTTTTTCTTATTTACACATTGCATTAAAAACGAAACAAGATCATGAAGATTTACCTGAAAGTTTTAGAAAAGACATTGAAAAGTCATGGAATTTTAAGTAGTAAATATGTGCATGAACTCTGAACATAATGCCTTTTCTACAAATTCAATTAATTTATAGTTTAATTTTAGTTTGTGTGGATATTGACCACATGTAAAGGACTATTTTCATTTGATTCTTTTTTTTTTTAACAAAACGTGCTCATTTTTTTCTCTAAAATGTCCTCATTCATATGTGATGATTTTATAAAAAAAAACAAATGTATCTTAAATCCAGGTTTTGATGGAGCCCAGGAGTTACCTGGAGTCATTCTTGTACTTTATCATTGTTTTCTCTTTTATCAGATGCTGTCAGTGATGTGGAGATGCAGGAACATTATGATGAGTTCTTTGAGGTGAGTTGTGCATCTATGAAAGTCATGGGGAAATGGTCAATGAGGCAGCTAAATGCAACCCTAATAAAAAAGTTCCTCGCCCTCAAGTGGTTCTAAATAATATATTTTGAAGAAAGCTGGAAACCAGTACCCATTGATGTCAATAGTTGTGGTTAAATGGTTCCCAGTTTTCAATCTTTTTCAAAATATTCTCTTTAGTATTCACAAGAAGAAACTTAAGTTAAACAGGGAATTCTTACTCAAATAGGTTTATTAGTTTGTTGTAAACTATTCCATTAATACATTTAACATTCTTACAATCAGAGAAATAATATACATTTTAAGGGATTTCAGAATTTCCATTTGCATGTTTGCATTAACTTTAATCTACTCCCGGTAATACTTTATACCTGTTTTGGTGTGAACCAGACATAGGCATGGGGCGATAACCGGTTTCAAGGTTTACTGCAGTTTGGAAAAGTAAAGGTTTTTAAACTGTTAAAATTCTTTGTTATACCATTCCTAAGGTATATGTAAGGTTTTTTTCTTATGTGTTGTAAAGAAATCTGTGTTTTTTTTTTTTTTTATCTCAAAACGAAGTCAATAATTTATTTTAACTATTTAGTCTAAAATGTTTACTGCTCCAAAATGTTATAAATATTTCCTAAAATAAAATTCATTGTTCAATATTAGCAAATCGAAAGCATTTTTGTTTTTACCCAGACACTTTAAAGTAACTTATTTTTGAGCAGTAATCACAATGCTGTGATACATTAAAACCGTGGTATTTTCATCCAAGGTTATACTGTCAGAACCATATACCGGCCCATGCCAACGCAGGAATAATACTATTGCCTGACATTTCAGCTGTGCAGTCACCATTACATTAAAATAGAAAATAGTACATTTATACCCTAATAGTATTTTACACTATTAATGTTTTTACTATACGTATATGTTAGAACTGATTAGCTTTAGTAAGCAAAAAATATCTTGCAGAAGTCATTAGATCACATGGCATTTCTGTTTTAATGGAAGCAAATCAGCAGTTGCAGGTATTATACTCTAACATGATTTTTAATTCACTGTTCACAGGAGGTCTTCACTGAAATGGAGGAGAAATATGGAGAGGTTGAGGAGATGAACGTCTGCGATAATTTAGGAGATCACTTGGTGGGAAATGTCTATGTGAAGGTGAGAGAATCTACAGTACTTTGAACATATTTTTGTTTAGATGTTGTTATAGTCAGTTGTACTTGAGATCTTTTTTTAGATCACTGTTAAACACTTTCTTGACCTTATTGCACTAAAAAGAAACTATTTAGAAGTTTTTTGCATCAGGAGGAAGTGTTTATAGTTTCTACATCTGTTGGTGGAAAAACAATCCCCATTATTTTATTGTTTGCAATGCAGGTACTGTGAATGATTTTAGTTATAGGTACTATGAATTATTTAAGTTACAGGAATGCATTATGGCGTAACCAAATTAGTGTCTTCTTCAGACAGAGTATTTAAAAAGAATATATTTTTAGAGCAGTAATCACAATAGCGTGGTATTTTTATCCAAGGTTATGATACCATCAGATTCTTATACCGGCCCATGCCTGTCTGTGGAACTGTGAAGTTCTTTCTTAGTTTTAAAGTGATAGTTCACCCAAAAATGCTATTTCTTATTTACTCACCCTCCACTTGTTAATATGTAATTACTGTTAAGCTGCTCTCCCCAAAACTCTATCATTTATTACAATGTGAAAGTTTCAGTACCACTAGACAAGGTTTTTATAAAAAAAAAAAAAAAAAAAAAGACTTGGATTTTTTTAAATAGGTAAAAATTTTAAGTTATTTATCAAAGATTGAATTATAAATCATATTTATCTTTTAATAATGTGAATTTTATTTATTTTTATTTGTTTGTGTAGATCATGGCTTATTGAAGCATGTTGTTCTCATCTAATGTTTTTATTTGTGCTGTCAATCGATAAAAAAAATGAATTAATGACACTTTTTTGCAATTAATCGCAATCAACCACATTTAAACAAACTGAAACTTATCATTTTGGCTATTCAAAGGTAAAATCAATGTAAACGCAAGTCAAAAAAACTATTTGTAAATATAATTGTTTATTCGAATTTTAGTTTAACTTGTAACAGATTTCTTCATGTAAACAACATGCCCACAATAAATTATCAAGATCCTGGCTTGACAGCCATATTTATTACAGAAATAAAAACACAGGCATGTTAATGCCATTTGAATTTCAAAACAGTCAATGCCAGTAAAGAAAAAAAAAATGATTTCCATGTTGGATTCTAAGTGGACTGCAAAAAAAATGCCAAAATACAGTCATTGCAAATATGGAACTGGAAAATTATTATAATAATAAAGTATTAAATACAAGCAATTGTACTCATTAAAAAGTTGTATTGCTGTGAGTTGAGAACAATAATTAGAAAGTAGAAACAGTTTTGCTTAGTCCTCCTTTACATTCAGCCAGTTGTTAAGACAGTCCAGTCTGTTGACATTATTGGGGACAATGTGGCCCTTTTCTTTTGAATGATGTGAGCTGAGAGTGAGAACAGTCTCATAAGCAGGATCTGAATCAGCATATTTATTTCGGTGCCTAATTTTGTAGCCACTTTTGCTGCGACAAGGACGTGAGAAGCATCAAGGGGTACATCAAAGGCACCCTCATGTACGTGTTGTCACACCAAAGACTAATTCTTACAGGGACTTTGGTCACAACATCTCTAAACATTTAAACAACTTTGAGGGATATGCGGACGACGACGTTTAGACATTTGTTCTTATTGCTAGGAAATGCGCATGCATACACACACACACTCATACACACACAAACACACCCCGCGTGCAGGACGACGCAGTCGGAGCAACTCCCTTCAGATTCAACACACATGATCGCGTTCATCAATATTGCTTAAACTAATCGTTCTAAAGCAGGGCTGTATTTCAAAAGAATTCTGACACATCAACGTGAAGCAGACACTTTACAAAAGTTGCGTTTAAGGGGGAAACGGCGCATGCTGAAAGGCAGAGGAAGGTGCCGTCTTTGACTGTGATTTTTGATTACCTTAAAGGACCACCGAGTCAAGAAATGCTTTTTTAAAAAAAATGCTTTTTTTTTATTTTGAGTTTTTTTTTTTTTTTTTGAGGTTTTTTTTTTTTTTTGAGTTTTTTTCTTTCCGTTCAAATTCCATTAAAACAAAAGTTGAAAGATTAAAAATGAAACTTATGAAAGTAGATGAAACTCTGGAGGAAACGCTGGATAGCCTGTTAATGCCACTTTAATTGTTTTATACTGAAACTCTCCTTCAAAAAGTGCTTCCTTAGTCTTATTCATATTTCTTTGCATGTGGAACACACTTTGACCACAACAGGAAAAAAACTGCAACTGCGTTAATTGCGTAAATTTTTTAATGCGTTAAATATTTCAAATTAATCGCATTTGTTAACGCACTTATTTTGACAGCACTAGTTTTTATGTATATTGGTCTTGTCATGAAATTGCCAAAAGTTGCTCATGTGGCGTTAAGTAAACAAACAAACTATCCACCCTTTTTAGGCTTGTTTGCATATATATCATCTTCACAAAGGAAGTTTGAGGATAATGTAGAAAAAACACAGCCACTGACTTCCATATTATTTTGGTTGTTGTTCCTACAATCGATTGCCTGCACTTTCTCTAACTGAATTTCTATATATAGCATAATGCAAAAGCCTGTTTTTGTCATTATTAAAATAATTCATTATTTATTTATTTTTTTATTTGTATAGTTCCGCCGTGAAGAAGATGCAGAGAAAGCGGTGATTAACCTGAACAACCGCTGGTTTAATGGGCAGCCCATTCATGCGGAGCTCTCACCTGTCACTGACTTCAGAGAGGCCTGTTGTCGACAGTATGAGATGGGGTAAGTGTGACCAACAGAGGGCAAAAACAAAAACACCACACACACTGAAACACTGCATTCCCACAGATAAATGTTTACCTGCATTCAGATTGATATTTACCTATAGCTGGTGCCTAAGCCACGAGCGCATAATATATTGGTTCAGGTGAAGATGTGTGCTAATAGGGTGTCATTCTCTGTGACTGACTGCAGTACTCTTGTGTTCCTGCAGAGAGTGCACTCGAGGAGGCTTCTGCAATTTCATGCATCTGAAGCCAATCTCAAGGGAACTAAGGAGAGAGCTGTACGGCCGCAGAAGGAAGAGGTGTGTGCTTTTAAAAACCACCACACTGGTGTCATAATGCCTTTATATTGTTTTGCATTATAATTTTCAAGTTTTAAGATGTTACTTTAAGCAACATGGCTAATCAAAGCTAGCTACATTTACATAGACAATTATTTATTAGTTTATTTTGGTTTCAAACAAACCATAGGAATTATGTACATGCTAAATAAACTAACAGGACTGGTGTGCGTGTAACACATTCTTTATTTAGATTTTATTTTCACTACCAAAACGTTTCAAGGGCACAATGTTCCTGCAGCTCTGTTTTAAAATTATGTTGTTATCTGCCTGTTATGTGCCATTTCACCCTCAAAAACAAGGCATTTGCAGACAAATATTTGAAGCAACTCTGTCGTGCAGTATTTCTCTGGTAGTAGAAGAAACATTTTAAAAAGGACATTAGGCCTAGTGTTCTCCAAATCATTTTAAAGCAGCAGCAAAAAGCAGCTTCTCTGAAGGCGCATAACTGAGCTGTGACTCCGGTTTAGACTAAACATCTGCAGTACTGATTTCAAAAGTTGATTGCCTCCATATGAAAACCCTGGCACAATGTAGAGAAATATTAATGTATCCTATTTTACATGAGCTAGTGAAGTAGTGTTTGTCCTGCCTGTACTCCACTTTGACTGGACAACAAACTCTTAGCTCACACTTGATTACTTTTAACAGGGTTTCTGCGGGGTCTTAAAGTCTAAAATTTAAAAATTTAAATTTAGGCCTTAAAGTCTTAAATTGGCTGTTCTAGGTCTTAAATATTATTTTACATCTCTTATTTTTCTGATGTCCATGTAACACTACATCTAATGCTCATTTAAATTCTTTTTTGTTGTTGCTAGGTTTTCGGGGTGTTGTAGTTCTTTATTTTACTAGTCCAGTTGTAATTTGCGGTAATACAACTACAAGTGAGGTCAACTTGCAATAGCCAATCAGCTTTCTGTTATTGACTTTGTGTGCGCGGCAAATGTGACGTCATTGCTGTGTTTGCGGAGATTCACTGTGGTTGCGCGCCACATGATTTTGGCTGGCAGAGTATGGCATTATTTCACTGACAAATGTCGTAAGCGCAGTTTTACAAGTCGGGAGCGCATTCATGTAATTCGAGAGAGTGAATCTCTTTGCTCAAGCGCCGGTTTGAGCAAAGAGACACACACATTTAAAAAGTAACTGGTCCACAGTAGATGCTTGATGCGATTAAGTCATCATCTGTCTGTCTGATTAAACGATGTATAATGAGATGGCAAGAGCTGAGAGAAAAAGCTTAATGGTTGTTGTCAAGACAAAAAGACCGTAAACCATACAGGAAAGAAAAAGCTGATAAAAAAGTCTATCTAAAGTGAGATCAGACCAGAAAATCATCCTGAACTTAACTTTAAACCCGATCTGTTTTTATTTACTCAAATGTGTGCTTTTGCTTAACTGAAATGATGTAGTCTCTCGCTGACCTTTAGAGATGCCAATAGGTTGTACATTAAACTATGGAACAAAATCAATGCCTAAAGTCTTGAATTAAAAAGCTTGTTGAATATCACAAACTGAAAAAAATAATACACCGTATTAACAAGTTCTTGCATTTTAATGACTTGAATTCCAGGGTTTGTATTTTTAGGTCCTGAAATTTAACATATCTGTATATTTAAGCTTTGAATATTTCAACGAAAAATATTTCAAACACGTTTTCATACTTAAAAATTTAATAATTCATATTCAATTTTCAGATTTCACTTACAAAATATTCAATACCCTTTTAAAATACGATGTATAATATTCAAAAGGTCATTTTCAGTTCATTTTATTTCAGTTCAAATATTCGCTTCCATAAATTCAGTGGATCAAATTCGACTGATAAAATTCAACATTACATCCGGGAACTGCAGGAAAAGCAATACATTGCAGATTGAAGATCGCCAGCTGCTCTAGCTTTCACCAGCAGGTGGAGATGGAATGTAAGATTTTTAACCCAGTAAACAGGCGAGAAAAAGGCTATTAAAGGCACAAAAGTAGCATTTAATATTAATATCAATGTTTTGGACATTATAAATGATAAAAAGTATGAGTAAAATGAGTTAATGAGGTTTTAGTCATCTATATTTGCCCTTATGTAACGGAAGCCAGCTGGTGATCGCGTAAATCTCAGTTCTCGGATCCATTGACAGACGTTGTTCTGCAATCTTATCAGAGCTTGTCTCCCATGCCGGCTCGCTCTCTGCTCGGACCGGTGCAATTACTTGCAAATAAACCGTCTTTTGATGAATATGATGTTACACATTGTCTATCTTTATTGACTCTTTCTTCCATAGACGCGAAGTATTATATTGACAGCTAAAGAATATAAACGTAAGAGAAACAGGAAAGGAAAAATTATAATAATACAAAATAGATAAACATTGACAGGGCTAAGAACAATTACGAACAAAGATATTCAAAAGCAGAGAGATTTTATGAGAATGTCACACAAAACAGTTTACTTGGAACTGTTAAACAGTGTTCAGGTATGATTTAAGGTTGGTTATGGATGGGGCGTCTAATTTAAAATAATTTAACATAACGTGCGAATGCATTAAAGTGACGTCTTCAGTTATTATTTAAACGCAGCTATGTCAGGATTGGGATAGGTTATATAATTTCATTATTTAAATTATGATTGTTAATATTAATATTTTATGACATGTATTTGGGCTATTAAATCAAGTGAAGTTAAATCATTTTAAGCCTTTTTAAAGATTTAATTGCATGAAACTTTTTAACAGAGTGGTCAAAAAGGCTATTAGTTTACCACGTTAAAATAAAGGGTTTGCCTAAATTGCGAAGTCCTACATTTTCAGTAGTCTACTGTTCCTCCTGACACACAATTTTACATATTACTTATGATATAAATAAACAGTGCATATCTAATTTTTGGTAGCCATGATGCGAATAAGTTTTAGAAATGCACATAAAAACATGCGCATAACTGAGCAGGATAAACTTTTTGATTAGATAAGAAAAGATGCGCATAAACACAATGGGAACACTTTTACTGAGCAAATTTCCAGTATGCGCATTAAAAAGGGCATGTGATTTTGTTATAAGAGATCATGTGAGGATACAAATGTGTGTGAATGGACAAACCAGCAGGTTGAGCACACTGTAGAACATCTGAAATGTTGTTTTGGTCATTTTAAAGCTGCAGTCACACTAGAGTTTGTGTTTGCGAAATTCTGTCATACAGCGCTGCGAAAAAGGGCGGGATTAAACAAGATTATTAGACATTAAAAAAAGCGAGCGATTGCGCCATGTTTTAAATTTCTGTCCAGAGAGGTTGTGTTTTGATACTCAATTGATGTCACGCAGTGAAGTGATGTGAAACTTAATACTCAAGTGGGACCGCAGCGTTAGAGGCCTTAATCAATTCAATATTAGTGGTATTAGATTAATAATTGCCACTAAGATGAAGAGTGTCTGTGCTCCGCGTCTGACACCTTCAGACACCACCACTTTATTCACACATCTTTTATGCGTTTTTATTATTAATTTTATTTATTTTTTGTTGTTTGCTGACTATTCCAGAGTATTTAGTGTAGTATACTAGATATTTGCTTTTCATCTGTGAGATGTCAACGATGCGCGAGTGAACCTCTTTGATGTGGTGTTCAGTAATTCACACAAGGACCGCCTAGTGCATATCTCCTGCTGATTTGCCCCCCAATCACAGCCCCATCTCTCGGCATGCTTGTTAGCTTGCATATCAGGCTTAATCCTGTAGTGTGAACTCGGAATTATTTAAATTTAAGCATCTTTCAGCTTGCAGTGCAAATAGATGTGAAAAGAGACTTGACATCAGTCCCTTGCCATGCTTTTGTTATTCAGAACAACCAAATTGCATTAATTTAAGATGCTTATGACCACTGGGAAGAGTATTTGTTGTTGTTGGTCTTCGTCTACATCACTGCACACAAGCAAAATGTCCCATTTTCCATCCAATCAGGTCTGGATGATTCATTACTATTGATGTAATTGGGCTATTTCTTGGGTCCATATTCAGTGCAGCTGCTGAAGAATGTTTTTGCAAGAATATATATTTTAAATATGCATTTTCCTATAAGAATATATTAAGCATCATACTGTATTTCCAAAATTTGTTTCACATCTTTCAACAGTCATGCACAAGGTGTGCTAAATATTTTGTGGCAACCATAAAATACAGATTGTTTTGAGATTAAATTGTTTACATGAAAATATTTCCTGTCACTTTTATACAGAAAAAATACAGAATTTTATTTTATTTTTATCTTGCACACCCAAACACATTTTACTAGACTGTCCTAATTTTACTGATTCCAGAAGACATTTTTATGAAATTAAATCTCCTGAGGACATTTTTAACAAAGTGAAACCAGGAAAAAATTTAGAATTCTTATTATGTATTAACACAATCTTATTTAATTGATGTATTTATTTATTGTGGTATAATTGTGTACATGTATACATATTTATATAATATTTTATAACATTTTTAATTAATAATTTTATAATATAATATTTATATAATATAAAATATATATTACTGAAATGTTCTTGCCATGAAAACAGCCTTGGTTGCTGACATGGCAATAAATAATTAAAAACCCATCACATTATCTTACACACCCCAAACTAGTTTGATTTGTAGTTTTGACTCATCAGTAAACCTGTTCTCTTTCTTTCACAGACATCGGTCCCGCTCTCGCTCCCGTGAACGACGCTCTCGCTCTAGGGAACGCAATAGAGGAGGTGGTGGTGGAGGAGGAGGCGGTGGTGGTGGCGGCGGCGGCGGTGGTGGTGGTGGAGGAGGAGGAAGAGACCGAGAGAGACGGCGGTCAAGAGATAGAGAGCGTTCTGGAAGATTTTAAAATTTCCTTCTTTCTTGAAATCAACATTCAGTCACCAGACCCTTCAGCTCTCTCCTGATGAAATGTGATAACTGTTGAAATTGTTTCCTTCTTAATTGTCCTCTGATCTTTTTATTCAACGTTTGTTTGCTTTTCAATAAAAAAACACCTTAGTCGTTTCACAGTTTTTCAGTATTTGTTCTCATAACTTTATATGCTATACATTTTAAGTGTTTTCATATGTGTTTTCTGCAATTAAGCTTCATTTAATAGAAGTCTCCAATTTGCTGTGATCTTTAGAAGTGACCAATGCTAAACCTATTTTAATGTTAGACAAGTGTCAGGTCAACTAACAATTAGAATATTGTTAGAATAATTAGAATAGGCATGGTAAATGTAGTTGTTGATTTAAATTCTAGAACCATGTTAATGTAGTACCATAAACAAAAGAAGAGATCTTTTGTAATTCAGTTTTTAAAGGGCTTTTTATTGTACTGAACTTAAAAGTTTTTCATTTGGACTTTTGAAATATTCAGTTATTGTTGATAAAATAGTACCATATCACAAATGACTTGAATATGCATTGCAGGCCAGAAGTTGGCAATGTCTTTAAAAGAAAAACCGCATTGCTGCATTGTTTTGATTGTCACTTGTGCATAACTGTATACTATAAATAATAAGCATTGTTATTGTTTTCACAAAAACACGTTTTTGTCATTTATGTTGAATCTGTTAAACGTCACATTCTGAATCTAAACTTTCGACAAGTTAGATAACGTAAGATGACAACAAATTACATGTTTTTGAAAGATCCAGGCCTTGCAAACACTGTTCTCATTTAAAAAAAAAAATAGTGAATAACTTTTCATACAAAATTTTCTTTTTTTCACTTATGACTTGCAGATCGGAATAAAAGATTCAGTGGTCATTTGAAGCAAAAATATGCTAGGCAATGTTTATCATCAACTTAGGTTATCAACATTTCTAAATTTCTGGTGATCAGCAGATGAAATAAATTTTGTATAGAATATTTGAAATGATGCAGCCAATGCTGCAACTAAAGAAATAAAAACATCAATATTAATTTTGTGATGAGCAAGAAAAGCCTTGCATAAATAAAACCTAATAAAAACATTTTCATTAAAGAAAATAAACGGAAGTGTCTCCGACAGAACAACAAACAAATACCTAGGAGACAAAGAGAGACAGGATATATGTTTAATACCATGTTCAAAAGCAAACCTACTACTACTAGTATTACACCAAAAATAATATTATTACTGCATTTTCTAAGGTTAACGCAACGCGCAACAAACCAGTTAAACTTGCTAGGTGAAGTATAATAGTTAACTAGCGAATTTCAAACTTCAGTTAGTTTCAGTAGTACTTTAAAGGTATTATCTCAAACATGCACACACAACAACGCTAGTAAAACAGGTAAATAAAAATCACCCGAGTGACAAATTACAGCGTTTTAAACGTGTCCTTAAATGATTTCTGTGGACGAGGGCACGACTAAATGTTGGCCTCCCATTGGTTACGGGAAACGAACAGACACCCCCGCCGTAGCCAATCAGCGTTCGTCCCCAACAAGGTATACTGGTACCTGATTGGTCGCCAACCTGGCTCTTTAACGCATGTGAGCAGCTGGCAAGCCGTTTTCTTTTCACAGTCACACACGGGCAGGATCTCTGTAATCGGACCTCCGGCTCTCAAGTTTCTCTCCATCTGATAGTCAGGGTGAGTAAAAATGTCCGTTCACATTTTAGCCCGCAAGAACTGTTAAATGACGATCACAAATGCACGCTAAAGAGCATCACACAAACGGCACAGTTTGTGTGCGAGGAGAAGATACTGTATCTATCTGCATCTACTGTATCTCATTGAAGGTCTTTCCATAGAAGTGTTTTTCTAAAAATTTAGACGGCTGTTGAGAGTGATGATAATGCGGCTCGAGTATGATGAAATCGGCATCCTGCGTCACAGCATCACGGTCAGCGCGAGCACAATGAGCGCAGCGATTGCGTCATCTCACTTTACTGTAATATTTCATCAATATGACGCTCTCGTTTCATGTAAGGTCCATAAATACACCTGTTTGCTGTGGCGAGTGTCGACCTGGAAACAATTTAAGTGATTATTTATTTATTAACCATTATCTTTTGATCTTTATTTGAGCAGCACGAATGGGAAATCCCAGCAAACTCTCTGAACATTTTTTTCTGGGATGTCTAACATTATAAAAGTCATTGAACGTTTAAAAGTAGTGTAAGAATGTACATTAAAAAATAGCAGAAATAGTTTGAATACTAATATATTATTATAATTAAAAAAATATATTCTGTCCGTACTATATCTTAAATATTTATGTTCGTTTTCACAATGATTCTTATTTACATTTTCCTCCCAAATGCAGAAAGGTTTTGTGTTTTTAGTGTTGTGTACAGTATGGTGAGTCATGAAAACAGGCTTTGCACCATCGTTGACTGGAAAGTCACTCCTCTTTTTTTGAGTTCACTAAAGTTTGTCTGCAGAAAGCAGAAGTCCTCATTCCTCTGTGTTGTTGTGCAAAATAGTTCTTTCTATGGATGCTATTTTGCTTTTAATTGAGATAAATTAGGGTAAAGTTGGTTTTATATTCACACGTTCTGACTTTTTCGTTGATAATATATTCTCAGAAAAGTATTGTTTCAAATTTTAAACAGGGAAGCCATATTAGCAGCCAATAACTATCATAATCAACGTTGTTTAGAGTTAATTTAATAGTGCCAATGTTGTTTTGAAATCATACTTGTGTGTTTTCAGACAGAATAATAAAATTAGCGTGGTACACCATTAAAATTTGCAAATATAAAAGAAAACACAGTTTAAGAGAAGAGAGTCTGTTGTTTATGTCAGTAGGATTTTTTTTTACCCCACATGCAAAAGCTACAACCAAAACATTAAAAGACATAGTTTTACCACAAATAAACCATGGTTTTGCTTCACTAATCATAGTTTAGCCATGCAAGCTGTTTATAGTAGTAAAATTGTGGTAAATTTAATGGTAATAATCAATACATCCCATCATTACAAACAACACTTTAACTACACTTTTACTTCGCTTTTACACCATGGTTTACTTTCGTAAGTGTTATATAAGTAAAACGAATCAAACGTTTTTTTTTTTTGGAAATGTATGTTCAGTCGTAAAGCTTTCTTTTGGCTCAAATGCATTGTTGTGTTTCAGTGTATTTTTCATTACATAAGAGTCACTTCCTGGCAGAATCGCGAGCGCGTGAGGTATAAACATGAGCGAGTTGTTCTGTTCTGGATTAAGATGTAAAATATTTCCAGCTGCTTTTGAAATATGAAAACTCTGTCCTCTTTCCCCCACAGTTTAAATAGTTCTGAATGATCTCTCTTGTGTTGATCATTAATAAATAATTTTTATGTAAGGGAGTGTTTTTGCTTATTCATGATTTGACCAGCAGGACGTTGAGGTGTTGATAAGGATGCTTTATTGTTGTCTTTGGCGTTCTTTGAGATTAGAGATATTTATAGCCCTAATATAATAGATATTGTTATCAAGAATCAAGAAGTGGGTTGTTGTACACATTCAGGATGATATAGTGTGTTTTGTTTTGTCACAAAACAGTGTTATCTTGCTTTGTTTTGACTCTTGGTCCTTTAAAACACTGGAGATGTAATAGTTTCTGGGGGTCATGAAGTCTTAATCACCCTACTTTAAGACTTTAATTGGACCCAAAAATGAAAATGTACGCTATTTACTTGCTTCCAAATCTTTGAGATTATTTTTATTCTTTAAACACTAAAGAAGATATTTGGACGGAAACTGAAAGTCGGTTATTATAAACTTTTTCATAGTAGGAAAGACTAATACTATGAAAGTCAATGGTTACCAGTTTCAAACATTTTTCAAAATATCCTCTTTTGTGTTCAAGAGAATAAAGAATCTCACAAAGATTTGAAACAAGTAAAGGTTGAGTAAATGATGACAGAATAATTTTGTGGTGAACAAACCCTTTAAAAATCTTAAAATCAGCTCAGAAAGTTTTGAAGTAATGACTGTTAAGGTTTAAAAAAAAAACAAAATAATATAAAAAATAAATATTCTTGCTCTGTTTTATCGTAACATCCTTTAATCAAGGCACAGTTTACTTCAGATGCAAAATGAATAAATCAAGTATTGTTTTCCAAGAAATTGTACGGAATTAATTTTTATTTATTTACAAATATTGGTCTGTTGATTAAAAAAATACTTTCCCCATAGGGGAGCATTTGTTTATGCTTTTCAGTATATTTTAAATATAATAAGTCCTAAATTTACAGTCATATAAACCCTGAGAATGTTATATTTTAAGATGAAACTTCCAAAGCTTACCATCTTCACCGTTTTGATTTTTCTGTGGCATGTTGCGATCCGTCAGTGTTGCGTAACAAATTGGATGACATTAGTACAGTATTCAAACATAAGAGTCAAAATCTGAAACATCAAGAGCGATACGCCCACTTATTATAGAGGGGTTACATAATGTTTAATAACACGGTCTATAAAAGTCCAACATTGATCAAAGTGCTGTAAAACAGTAGGTGCAAAGAAGAAAAAAAACAATGGTGAATGACACTTAGTTCATTTCTTCTCATAGGTAAACCATGCCAGCAGTACCATCTAGTTCAGAATCAGTTGGCACTGGCCCCGTCTGCCCACATGCTGCCAAAATGCTCTCAAATGCTGCAAATGGAGAGTCTGGCATCAACGGGGATGCTGACGATGTCTTCAACGGAAAGGCTGGACACAAGCTGAATGAAACAAACGGGCGCCACTTGAAGAGTCTGAACGGACAGCACATGGACAAGGGCTCCGAGGTCAGCATGGAGAGGAAATGGATTCGACCGGATTTGCCCAGCAGATGCACTTGGAAGCTTGGTGACCTGAATATGGAGTCACCCCACAACCACTACCAACGGTAGGACACTGGGTTTGAACTCGGTTTTCACAGAGTTCTTTTTTTGTCAGCGTTTACAGAAAGACTCAGTCATGGTCTTAGGTTTATTTGAACAATATACAGTGGTTTAAAGTAACACATTACAAATACTCAAATTACTGTAATTGAGTAGTTTTTTTTTCTCAGAAATTGTGATTTACTAAGTCTTTTTAAAAATATGTACTTTTACTTTCCCTTGAGTACATTTTTAGAGTTGTATCTACAGTTTTACTCCACTACTTTCCTTCAACCTGCAGTGCCTACTTTATTATTTCTTGTCTATGGGGTTAGAAAAATCAGTCCTGGGATTCCTGTCCAATTAAATCACATCATAATGAACTACTTCAAGACATGGACGATTTATAATTGCAGCAAACTGTTCAGAAGCATTAAAAGTGGCAAAAAAGATGTTAAAAAACTTTACACACATTGACTTAGAGACTGTTTAGATGCATATTACAGATGAGAATGACGGATGTTTACTGTATGATGACCGAAATGGCTTTAAACACCCAACAGGCACAAGATGTCAACATGACGCCAGGTTGACATTATACCCTATTGTTGTGGGGGGATTTTGTTTGGAAATGAAAATCGGGTTTACATCAGAACTCAACGTCAGGCTGATGTCAGTGTCCAACATCCAACTTGAAATCAACCAAATATCAATGTCTAATGGTGTTACAGCTTGACGTTGTGTGGATGTTACCACTATGACGTCTATCAGATGTTGGATTTTGGTTGCCATACCTGATAAATAAATGTCACGTCAATATGATGTTGGTTTAAGATGTTGGCTCAACGTAGGATTTTTGTCACTTTCTAACACAACCTAAAATCAACCTAATATCAACGTCATTTGATTTCATTATTGGACATCAAAATAACATTGTCCTTAGACGCTGACTAGACGTTGAATTTTGGTCATCTGACATCACAACCTTAATCTAACCTAATAATAACGTCTTATGATGTGGGCAATAACTTAATGCACTACAGAATGTTACGTTTACACACATCCACTAATTACATGTAAATGCATCAGCTTTTCACATCGTAATACTCACTACTAACTACACTTGAGTACTGTTGAAAGGTCTACTTTGAGTAATATTTACTACAGATACTTTTACTCTACTTGCACTACATTTTAGGCAAGTAATGGTACTTTTACTTGAGTATGCTTTTTCAGGACTTTTTTCCACCACTGGCAACATACTAGATAGAAAAAAATATATATATAGAAAAACTATTTACTTCAATTTATTGTGAATATTATAGTGTTTTTTTAATCATACTATAGTAAAGTACATTAAATGATCTGTTCTGTAATTCTATATTTACTATGGTAATGCAGCAACTACAGTATTATAAACATATTACCCAATATTGTTGTTTTCTACAATTCTCTCTATTCTATATTATAATGAATACACAAGTTTACTGTAATAAAAACTACAGTCTTTATTAATATTTTTAGATTCACCACTATAAATACTATAATATTTAACAATGATTTGTAAATGCTGTATTATATATGCAGTATAATACATTTACTATACAGGGTCAATAAAATAGGAATGCTTGGGGATATTAAGGATCCGGTCTGTGGCACATTAGAATATGTAAGGGGGCAAACTTTTTAAGATAGGTGGTGACCATGGTGGCCATTTTGAAGTTGGACATGTTGGATCCAACTTTTGTTTTTTCAATAGGAAGAGGGTCCTTGAACACATAAAACCATTGGGAATTTGCTTTGCTATTTACAAGTTTCTGACCACTTATAAAATGTGTTCAATGTGCTGCCCATTGTGTTGCATTGTCAATGCAACCCTCTTCTCCCATTCTTCACACACTGATAGCAACACCGCTGCAGAAATGCCAGCACAGGCTTCCAGTATCCATAGTTTCAGGTGCTGCACATCTTGATTCTTCAAACTACGGATACTGGAAGCCTGTGCTGGCATTTCTCCTGCGGTGTTGCTATCAGTGTGTGAAGAGTGGGACAAGAGGGTTACATTGACAATGGGCAGCACATTGAACACATTTTATAAGTGGTCAGAAACTTGTAAATAACTCCTGAAAGAATAAAGCTGTGTTAAAAGCAAGAAAACCATTGTTTTTCTTGTGAAATTCCCATGAAGTCTGATGTGTCAAATGACCCTCTTTCTATTGAAAAGACAAAAATCGGATCCAAGATGGCCAACTTCAAAATGGTTACCACCCACCTTGAAAAGTTTGCCCCCTCACATATACTAATGTATATTAGGACATTAGGACATATCAGGACGTTAATATCACCAACCATTCCCATTTTATTAAGCTGTCTCTGTATGAATGGCACACCCTGTAGTATGGTTAAGACTTTAGTATTTATTAATAATTAAAATTGTATTTTTTTAATTTTTTTAAACAATTTTTTTATGTGGGACTGTGTTTCTGTTTACTGGCAAAATAAAAGCATGGAAATTACAAAGTACATTTTTACATTTATTGTGCAACAAAATTATTCATGTTAAATGCTACCCTGTTGTTTGACAATATTGCAGAATTATTACTTTATTTTATGTATATAGACACTTTATTGATATTGTTTTTACAATTAATTTAGACCTAAAAGGAATAGCTTACCCCAAACTGAAAATTCTGTAATCATTTACACTTTTTTTATGAAGAAGATTATTTTGAAATATATAGTTACTGGTGACTTGCATAAAATTACTTTGTCCCTCTGTAGAAGTCGACAATAATAATAATAATAATAATAATAATGATACATTTTATTTGTGGTGCACTTTTCTTAAACTCAAAGCACTACAAGGCAAAATACTAATAATATAAGGCAAAGTACCAACTATGGCAGAAACAGTTGTTGAAGTACAGGAGTAATATGTCAGAATTTTGAATATACTGTAATCTTCTGAGAGAACTTGTAGGTAAACCCCCAAAAAGTGAATTACAGAAATCAAGATGTGATGTGATAAAGACATCATGTTGTGAGATGGTCTAATCTGAGCAATATTGTAGAGTCGATGGATACTAGTTACCACACTCCTTAGAGTATCTTCTTTTGAAGAGAAAAAGAAACTTATAAAGGTTTGGATACACTTGAGGGAGAGGAAATAATGAGTCAGTTTTCTTTTTTTGGGGTGAACTACCTCTTTAAAGTGATTCAACTTTTAAGAGAAACAAAGGTGGTTCCAAACCTATGCACTTCTCCAATATTTGTGAGCATGATAGATAGCATTGTTATTTTATATGAGGAAGGAAGATTCGGTAGTTTAATTTGAGCAAAAACAACAGAAACATTATTTAAAATTTTGTTCCTGTTTTTCTTTATTCATGTATTTTGCTGGAAATATTGATATGAACATGCCCCATACTGTCAAATTTATGTTTAAATATAAAATCTGTAATCAAAAAGAAATATTTTTTTCTACACACACTCTTTAAAAATTCAAAAACATGCAGGTAACCTCTGTTTAACAACAGTAGTCTTTCAGGAAGAAAGTGTAACATTAAGTTACCACACCCTTACCATACTCAGAAATCACTACCAATCTGCAGACTCACTGTGATTCAGTTCAGTCAGTCGTGTTGTGGTTTACTGTTGTTTGACTGTTGTCTTCATGTGTGAGTGTTTGTGGTTTTGTTACCGGGTTACCAAATGCAGCTTTTTCTCACAGGACAAAGACGTCCGGTATCCTCCCCAACATCTTAAGCAAGATTGGAGAGACCCCAATGGTTCGCATGAACAAGATTCCCAAAGCTTTTGGCCTCAAGTGTGAACTCTGTGAGTATGATATGAGTGCATGTGTGTCTTCATACCTGGTTTCAGCAGCATGCTGTGTCGTGTCCCATGAGGACATGCAAGGTCACGTGATCTTTTAAAGGCAGCCTGCAAAAGTGCATGTGTTGGCACGTGTGTCTAGGTAGGGGAGTAATGGTTGTGTTCTGGAAAGAGGAATGCGGGTGTTGGGTTTCGTTCTCCTTAAATAAGTAAGGATGGGAAGGAGTGAGTGTTTCCAGATTTTTTTAAACTAGGACACGGTTGATTTTGAGTGCAGAAAACTGTTAATTCAAAGGTGCTGAATGACGTTTTTGACTTTTATAAAACAAAAAAAAAACACAATTTGTTTGCAGATATTTAGAAAATATGCAAAGTCAGGGTAAGTGAGACTTTGGCCAGGGCCGTAGATTTAGCATGGGCGAAGTAGACGTGTCCCCAGCAATATCCACCAACTACTGAAATGTCCCCAGTCTCCCACCAATAATTTAATTCATTTAAAAAAAATCATGCTGTCAATATTAACCTAGACTTGCAGAAAGGGTTAAATCATGTTCTCTACTCGAGTCATACTGCCCCAAAACACATATGAACATATTGTGATTGGCTGAGCCGGACATGTGAGAAGCTGTTGTTAGGTCAGATGTAACAGCGCCAAAACGGCACAAGCAATTTACTTGTGCTAGATTAAACTGTGTGACATGCAAGTGAGGATGGCGGCAGCAAAAAACGCAGACAAAAAACAATGCACATAACGCAAACATAACGTTATAGCAGGCTAATATATACCCCTTTCACACATATAGACGTTTATGGAAAATTACTGGCAATTTTCCGGAAAGGAATCATATCTTGTGTGTAGAGGCCGGTAAATTAGTTTTGGCAATTTTCTGGAAAGAGAAGTTGTTACATATGAGGTAATTTGCCGGAATGCTGCGTAAAGGCAGAAGGGAAACTGCGAGAGAGTAATTTCACATGTGCTGACGTGAGACGTCTACTCCAGCCAATCAGAACACTTCGGCGCATTCACATTCGCACTGTTTATGAAAATAAAAACCTTTGAATATTTTTCCAGACACATTTAGCTGCTAGATGTTAGTCAGATAATGTTTTTATGTTCCTTCTTAAACTCTGCGTGACGTCATCGACTTTCGCTTTAAGATTTAAAGGGCTAGCATTGCACCAGTTTGCATCTTTCGTAGCATTGCACCTTTCGTTTGAAAGTGTAGAATCTATATTTTATGTACATATGCATCACTTTGGTTTTTATTCTACTGTACAAAAGTTATATACACCTAAACACACAGTATTTTGGACACCCGAGCTGGGTATTGAACATTGGTTCACTTTTATATTTTTCATATGACACATGTACAAGTTATAGGTCAAATGAAAGCTCTTGCCGGTGCTTATATGGTTCTAGCATTCTTTTAACTGAATTATATTCATATATCAAACAGTTGCCGAATGAATCGCAGTGTTTCCATGACGCAGAAATGAAAACAATACATTTATGATCACTAAACAGCCCCAGATAGCACAGACAGCTGTCATCTCTTACATTATGCTGTGTGCTTCAGGGCCATTCTCCTCTGTTTTTGAGGTGATGTGCATAAGTAATCCTTTTATATGTCTGAGATGGTGGAAACACAGTAAATTATGTTTGTTTAAACAAAAGAATAGTGAAATATGAAAACAGTGATCGCTCCCTACTGCACCTCTCATCAGTTGGAATACAATAACAATAACAAGCGCCTCTTTTTTTAGGTATTTATTATAACACAGACAACATATACAGTTATTTTAAACACTTTCTATAGCGTTTTATGAAAATTCTAAGGGTTTTCTTTAAAATGATACAAAATTTTTGCATTTACACCTCTGCATGTGGATTTGGGAAGCTTTTAAATTTTGGAAGGCAAAATCCAGGCGGAAATCCTAAAATAACAGCAGAGTTTAACTGGTTAATGCCAACTGTGGAAATAATAATCGATAAAATGCCTTTGATAAACCACTGTTCGTTTACCTTAAAGCTCTGCTTCAGTTGCGTGACGCGTGTGCATGTGAAGCAGGTGGTGAGCGACAACACATATTATGTACCATCAACAAAGCCTGACCCCTTCTGTGTTTACAAATACAAGCGCAGCCATTTAGAGGTCGTTTCTGATTAATGATGTCAGAATTTACTGGTATTTTGGAATTTATGCGTGAATGGTCTTTTCCGGTAAAATTCCTAAACGTCCTTGCCTGTGTGAACAGCACTTTTTTAATAATCACTGGTAAAGTCGTTCCAAAACGACTGCAAACTGCAAAATAAACTGCTAAATGTAAAAGTATTAATAATATGATCCCTGGCAGCTCTAAAAATCTCTCAGAGTAGGCCAGCATGTCAATTTTTGGTTAAACCTATTTGTCAAATAACTACAGCCTATGCTCTATCTACCTACTACTCTGTCTACTATCTATCTACTTTTTATTATTATTGATGTATGACACATGGATTTAAATAAATTGAACAGCATTGTTAGTTGTGTATTTTGTGCTAGTTGTCCCCACCAATGTCAAGAGCAAACCTACGCCCAAGAGTTTGGCTCCAACTTACTTCAACACACCAACCAGGAAGTTTCTAGTATACTTAGAAAGAGCTTGATTAGCTGGTTCAGGTGTGTTTAATTGGGGTTGGAACTGACCTCTGCAGGGCATCAGCCCTCCAGGGCCAACTCTGGGCTAAGTTAACATGCTGGTTTATCTGGAAAAATAAATAACAGTGCTAAAGTCAGTTATTCCCTTTTGAAGATGTGCATTCTGTTACAGAATATCTGTCAGTGTTTTTCACCCTATAACCTGCTCACTGCCAGTGTGCCCAGTAACATTTCGGCACCCTGGGGTTAACACAATTGCTGCGTCTCAATTCGCCTATTTATACTACATCCTAAAATTACTTTTTTTTGCAAATAAAAAGTATATACTTTTGATTGTGTAACACAAGAATATGCAAGCTTTGGGACTAACTACTTCCTATTTAAAGGACCATTATGTTGCTTAGTTAAAGACCCTGTCAATGATCTCGACACATCATCCACATTTCTTTTATATTTAATTTCCTACCTCATTTAAGATTCAGCAGCAGGTTAATGTGCCATTTGTGAGTCTTTCATGCAGAGAAATCACCTCCGGTCTTTGAGTAATTATGCACTCAGAAGTTAATGTTCAAACAGCTCTTTATAGAAGTTCACATTGTTGTTGCAGATGAAAAAAAGACTGAAAATATGAGTGAAATATTTTCCAGTTTGGCTAGATATTATCTAATAGCGATTCAAACCCCTTACCAAAGCCTCTCTACTATATTTATAGGTTGTTCATACTTTTTTACTCACGTTTGTAGCATTTAAATTATTTAATTAATGTTAATAACGTCCAATGCACAATGTATTGTGGCCAATTTTAGCAGTTCAAGTACGGACATTTCTACACTTTAAATTTCTATAGGAAGTATTAGATCATCTGGGAATCTTTGGCATACCCTTTTTACCAAGTTTGGGACAGATTAATTCTTTTTTGAACACCATTTAAGGCTGATTTATACTTCTGCGTCAAGTGCACGTGTATGCTACAGTGCAGCCTATTCGTTGATACATAGCCCTACATCGTGGCCATCGGCGTCGCTGACGTGCACCTCTCAAAAAATGTAACTACACGTCGCAACGACGTGTAGCGCAAGCTCTGTGATTGGTCGGCTTGGTAGCGCTGACGAGTCTGGGCAGGACCGAGAGCGGCGCGAGTGGCACGAGTCAGATGGAGCGATTGTTTACAAGTGTGGAGACCGTGAAGGAGCTGCGGATGGAAAGTTTTGTTTTGTGTTTACCTCATAGTTAAAGTTGTTGCACGTCTTCCGGTTCCTGCCTCAAAATGTGCAAGTTTGACCAACACCAGCAAAGAAACTCAACACAGAGACACATTAACACTTCACTGCCAACTAGCGTTTTGAAAGTGTTATTGCAGACCAACAGAGACAGCGCGCAGAAGTATAAATGCGCGCGTTGCATGCGCCGTGGGTTTCGTCGGTCACTTGACGCAGAAGTATAAACCAGGCTTTAGGATGGTTAGTATGCAAAGCCTATAGCTGCATCCCAAATGGCACACTATGCACTATGTACTTATGCACACTTAACAGCATAGTATTTGTATGTAGTGTCATTCCAAATGGAACACTAATGTTTTTTTACTAAGCAGAAATTTAAACCGTTTCCCTGATGATATTTGACTGTCGTCAAATTTGTGAAATAAATTACCAAAGTACCAAATAGTACCTGCCATGAGGATAACCGCATTCACCATTGGAAGGCGGTATGATCACTATCGTAGGAGAATACTGCTTTCACAATCCAAAATAAATAATGTTATCAAACATGTGCACCTGATAGCTCCGCCCATTCCACTACGTGAGCGCAACTGCAGTCGTTGAGTGCGTGAAGTGTCCATCATGCCACACTTCATTTTACCGGTCGAATGAGTGCTTCATCTGGGTAATTAAAGTGCTCTTATTATTTTTAGAGTTTTCATTGTAAACGCACTTCTTACACTATTTATACTACAAAATAGCATAGAATAGGGCGCAAGTATGTGATTTGGTATGCTCCTTATTTTACTGTTAGTATGCAAATAGTATTTAAATTCAGTCATGATGTCTGAATCGTGGTCAAACATGTGATGTCTAGAGGCCTGTAGTAACCTCTGATACAAAACGCACATTCAGATATATAAACATGAGGTTGTTTTATTTAGCACATAACAAAACATTCCCCGAGCAGCTTACTGTGTAAGACTGAACCATCAGGCACACTCGCTCCTTTTTGTGTCGTTAATTTGGTAACATGTGCATGCCTCGAGTCATTGGAGTGAAAAAACCCTCTTCTATATTTTAAATATGCACAAAAATGTCTATTTTAGGCACTTTACTCCTGTCATTCTTACATACTGCACCTTTAAATCGCATGTCTTATTAA